ATATCTTTTTTTATTCATTCAACAAATATTAGGTGTCCACTATGCTTTTGATGGGCTTAATCTGCCTACAATGCAGGATACCCCGGTTTGATGAGTCAGGAAGATCCCCTGGAGAAGGAATAGGCTACCCACTCCAGTATTCTTGGGCTTCCCTGGTGACTCAGATGGTAAAGAATCTGCCTGCAATGTGGGAGACCTGGGTTCAATCCCTGGGTTGGGAAGATCCCCTGGAGGAGGGCATGGCACCCCACTCCAGTATTCTTGCCTAGAGAATCACCATGGACAGAGGAGCCTGGCAGGCTATAGTCCATGGTGTCACAAAGAGACAGACAGGACTGAATGACTAAGCACAGCACAGAACAGCATGCTTTTGACACTAGGAATACACTGCTTAAAAAGATAGCTACCATCTCTGTCCAAATGGAGTTTATTCTAATGAGAACAAGCAATAAACAAGTAATGAAATAAGTAGATGTGATAATTTTAAACTTTGAGAAATGCCATGAAAGGCATAAACAGGGTGGTGTGAGAGTGTGTGACTGGAGTTGTCAGGGATGAGTGTTCAAAGAGGGCCTGTTTGAAGAGGTGACAATTGATCTGAGATTTCTTCTAAAAGATGAGAATAAGCCAACCTAAAAATAGCTAGAAGAAGAGCATTCTAGGCAATGGGGACAGTACTTAAGGGATTCAAGGGGAAAAAGGAAGCCCAGTGTGACTTAGATTAAGGAACAAGAGGAAGCAACAGTTAGAACTGGACATGGAACAACAGACTGGTTCCAAATAGGAAAAGGAGTATGTCAAGGCTGTATATTGTCACCCTGCATATTTGTTTATTTATTTATTTATTTATTTATTTATTTATTTATTTATTTTTTCTCTGTGATCTCAAAAGCTGTTTAATTGAGGAAATAAGGCAAGCAGTGAAGAATATGTGACAACAGGCCAGCTCAGGCTGGTCCCTCTGTTCATACTTTTTCACCCCAACCACAATCAATCAAACTCACACCCTTGCCTCCTCTGAGTCTTCCATCAAAAGTCACTTTGTCAACTAAAAATAAAATTACCATGTGATCCAGCAATGTAAACTTCAGGGTTTACATCCAGACAAAAGTGTAGTTCTAAAAGATACATGCACACCAATGTTCATAGCAGCATTACTTACAACAGCCAAAACATAGTGTCCATTGACAGATAAGAGGATAAAGAAGATGTCAGTTCAATTCAGTCACTCGGTCATGTCCGACTCTTTGTGACACCATGAACTGCAGCATGCCAGGCTTCCCTGTCCATTACCAACCCCTGGACTTTACTCAAACTCATGCCCATTGAGTTGGTGATGCCATCCAGCCATCTCATCCTCTGTTGTCCCCTTCTCCCACCTTCAATCTTTCCCAGCATCAGGGTCTTTTCAAATGAGTCAGCTCTTCACATCAGGTGGCCAAAGTATTGGAGTTTCAGCTTCAACATCAGTCCTTCCAATGAATATTCAGGACTGATTTCCTTTAGGATGGACTGGTTGGATCTCCTTGCAGTCCATGTGACTCTCAAGAGTCTTCTCCAACACCACAGTTCAAAAGCATCAATTCAGACGAATGGATAAGGAAGCTGTGGTACATATATACCATGGAATATTACTCAGCCATTAAAAAGAATTCATTTGAATCAGTTCTAATGAGATGGATGAAACTGGAGCCCATTATACAGAGTGAAGTAAGCCAGAAAGATAAAGACCATTACAGTATACTAACACATATATATGGAATTTAGAAAGATGGTAACGATAACCCTATATGCAAAACAGAAAAAGAGACTCAGATGTATAGAGTGGACTCTATATAGAGTCCAGACTCTGTCCAGACTCCCCGTGGACTCTGTGGGAGAAGACGAGGGTGGGATGTTTCAAGAGAACAGCATTGAAACATGCACATTATCTAGGGTGAAACAGATCACCAGCCCAGGTTGGATGCATGAGACAAGTGCTCCGGGCTGGTGCACTGGGAACACCCAGAGGGATCGGGTGGAGAGGGAGGTGGGAGGGGGAACCGGGATGGGGAACACATGCAAATCCATGGCCAATTCACTTCAATGCATGACAAAAACCACTGCAATGTTGCAAAGCAACCAGCCTCCAACCAATAAAAATAAATGGAAAAAATAATAATAATTTCATGGCTGCAGTCACCATCTGCAGTGATTTTGGAGCCCCCAAAAATAAAGTCTGACACTGTTTCCACTGTTTCTCGGTCTGTCACAGGGACAGGGGCTCTGGGTGCAGCAGACCTGGGTATGGCATAAGCCCTCTTGGAGGAGGTTGCCACTAACCCCACCATAGAGCTGCCAGAACTTACATAGGACTGGGAAATAGACTCTTGGAGGGCACAACAGAAACTTGTGCACCAGGACCCAGGAGAAAATATCAGTGACGCCACAGGAGACTGTCCCAAACTTGCCTGTGGGTGTCTGGAAGTACACGGCGGAGGCATGGGTCGGTGGTGGCCTGTTGCAGGGTTGAGGGCACTGAGTATAGCAGTCCATGCATGGGATCTTTTGAGGGAGGTCACCATTATCTTCATTACCGACTTCCCCGGTGGCTCAGACGGTAAAGCGTCTGCCTACAATGCAGGAGACCCGGGTTCGATCCCTGGGTGGGGATGATCCTCTGGAGAAGGAAATGGCAGCCCACTCCAGTACTCTTGCCTGGAAAATCCCATGGGAGAAGCCTGGTAGGCTACAGTCCATGGGGTCGCAAAGAGACACCCTGCATATTTAACTTATATATAGAGTACATCATGAGAAACGCTGGGCTGGAGGAAGCACAAGCTAGAATCAAGAGTGCCAGGAGAAATATCAATAATCTCAGATATGCAGATGATACCACCCTTATGGCAGAAAGTGAAGAAGAACTAAAGAGCCTCTTGATGAAAGTGAAAGAGGAGAATGAAAAAGCTGGCTTAAAGCTCAACATTCAGAAAACTAAGATCATGGCATCCGGTCCCATGACTTCATGACAAATAGATGGGGAAACAGTGGCTGACTATATTTTTGGGCTCCAAAATCACTGCAGATGGTGACTGCAGCCGTGAAATTAAAAGATGCTTACTCCTTGGAAGGAAAGTTATCAGCAACCTAGATGGCATATTAAAAAGCAGAGACATTACTTTGTCAAAAAAGGTCCATCTAGTCAAGGCTATGGTTTTTCCAGTAGTCATGTATGGATGTGAGAGTTGGACTATAAAGAAAGCTGAGCGGTGAAAAATTGATGCTTTTGAACTGTGGTGTTGGAAAAGACTCTTAAGAGTCCCTTGGACTGCAAGGAGATCCAGCTAGTCCATCCTAAAGGAGATCAGTCCTGGGTGTTCGTTGGAAGGACTGATATTGAAGCTGAAACTCCAATACTTTGGCCACCTGATGTGAAGAGCTGACTCATTTGAAAAGACCCTGATGCTGGGGAAGATTGAAGGCAGGATTGAAGGAAATGAGAGGATGAGATGGTTGGATGGCATCACTGACTCAGTGGACATGGGTTTGGGTAGACTCTGGGTGTTGGTGATGGACAGGGAGGCTTGGTGTGCTGCAGTTCATGGGGTCACAAAGAGTCAGACACAACTGAGCAACTGAACTGACTGACTGATAGAACAGGATAGGTTATTTTGTTTTTGCGGGGAGGGCAGGTTAAGAAGCAAGAATCAGTCAGTTAAGTAGGACCTACTCAAGTTTGAGATGCCTGTTCGATATCCAAGAAGTGTAAGTAGGCACCTTGAAACAGGGACCTTTAGAGCTCAAGAGAGGTGTTGGAATGTGAGAAATAAGTATGAAATTCATCAGCATGGACTTTACTTCATCAGTTCCAAAATTACATTTTTTTTCTTTTTAACTTTTCAGAGATCAGGGTACATCTTGTGATTGATGTCAGCCAGGCAGCAATCATGATAGAGTTGTCATTTGCTGTTTTTAAGTGTGTACTGGCAGATTGCCAGAATCAGACCTTGCAGATTAGATGTCAGCAGTGTGGGGGAGAATTGGAGATGATATTAGAGCACTGTTTTAAGCTCTTAAAATCAAATGACTCAGAGGAAGAAGGTAGGGAAGAGGTAAACCATACATGTTTTGGAGATTTCCTTGAGGCAAGGGCCAAAAGTAGGTTAGCTTTTTGCAGTTGAGACCCAAGCACCGTAGCTTTCTGTTCCTTTAAGAAATGCTGTATAATCCACACTCTGGCAGAGAATGATACTGTGTGAAGAAAAACATAGATGTCTACAACCCTGAAGTAGAAAAGTAATTCAGAAGAGTTAAGACTTTGAATGTGAAGTTTTAGAAATAACTTTCACCACTGAATTTTTTTTGCATTTACCATTCCATCTTGATAAAAATGATATATGTTCAAAATCTGCCTACATCTAAAACTCACTCATTGTAAAATATAAACTTCTAATTGTGTTATACATAGTTTGATTGGCAGAGTTTTTTCTCAGTGATTCATAAAAAAGCCATTGAATTGCTGGCTTTTCAATGAAGTACTGTAGGTGATAGTTAAAGCCAGGGAATAACTAGCTAGCTCACTTAGCTCTTGAGTTTACATAAAGAATTACAATTTCAGAAATCTACTGTGTACACAGACTGCCTCACCAGACTTCATCCTCATCCTTCAGATCTCAATTCAGATAATCATATTCCTCAGGAAAAACCTTCTGTAACACCTTCCATCTCCACCTGTGACTGAGTCCAGAATTTTTAAAAATGAGGCCATAGATTAAAAAAATGGTGCTCACTTTATCTACTGCAATTTTATCTTCTTTCTGTTTGTGCTTCTAGGGAAAAATATGAAAGGTTATAGTGGGTGTTTATTCAAAAGGATTCCAAGAATGTTGGTAGGAATAGAACATAGCAAATGAATCAGACAGTGAAGAGCCATCTTAATTTTCTGGTAATTTCTGCTAACCAAATGTTTTCATCCCCATTTCTCTCCATTTCCTTTTTTGTTTGTTTTTTTGTTTTTAAAGGAATGCCCAGAAGAAAGGAAAGTAAACATGAGCTCTATACGGGTAAGGAAACTCATTTTCATCATGTGCAGGGATAAAGCTTCATTTCATCAAAAGAATTTATACCTTTACTTTTCCCCAAATCCCAAGTCTGCTGCCTGGGCAAATTCAAAGTAAAGTATTTGCTTTCTGAATTAATTCCAGTGACTTTTATGTGACTTCATTGGCACATACTGTCTACATAGATAAAACTATTCATAGTTTGACTCTTGCTGTTGCGTCTGTGCATTATCTTATTTTATAATACACTTGCATGTAGTCAAAGTGTGACTGTAACAAAACCAAACACAGTTGTCTCAGTATAGAAACTCTGCTGTGTACATATTTAATATAGACGGTAATGTAATAGTGTCTGTTCCTGTGCTGTGTACTTTAGATGTTAAATTCCTAGAGTGTAGGAATGATGACCCATTTCCATTTCACAGTACCTGTTCAGTTGAACAGCTAAATTTTTTTGTCAATATAATAAAAGGAATATTTAGCCCGTAAACTTTGGGTATGCTCTAGTTTGAATGTGCTTTAGTGACTGAGTTTTAGTAAAGAACATGGCTACTCGAGCTTACTCTTGGTATGCACATCCAGGATGCTGGGAACTTTTTTCTAGGCAAAGAAGAGGAGGTAGAGAATAAGCAAACTAAATACCTGATAAGTAATTTTCCCTTTTTTGTGCTTGCAGGGGAAGAAATGGAACTGGTATTTGGACTATTTATTTTCAGAGGGGTTACACGGCTTGAAACACTTCATAAGAAGTAGTATTCATCGTTCTTCTGTCCCCTGAGCAGAGAGCATAAACCACCTGATCAGCATTTTTTTTAATGTTTCATGTCACAGATGTTTTAGCACAATATTTTTAAAAGGTTGCTGTTAGCAATCATATAATGGAACAGACATGGGGTTGGGGTCAAGCCAACCTAGGTTTGAAACTCATATCTGCCACTCACTAGTTTTGGGAATGTGTTCTGAGTTTTTTTGTTGTGCCTTAAAATAATAGCAATCATTTATTATTAATATTTCTATTTCTAGGAGGCAGGAATTTGGGGAGAGCTTCAACTGGGTGGTTCTGCCTCAGGGTCTCTCCCAAACTTGTAGTCAGGTGGATGGGGGGCTAGAACTCTGGAGGCTGGCTGAGTTAATCTCCCCCTCTTCTTAGAGTCTCAAGGCTTCTTCATGTGGTCTTTCCATGTGGCTCACTTGGGCTTCCTTACAGCATGGTGGCCTCAGGACAACTGGATGCTTCTGTGGTGGCTTGGGCTCCAGGCAGGCAGATGTCTCAGGGACAAAAAACATCGCCTTTTCTGATGCAGCTTTGGAGGTCATGCACTCTTAGTTCCTTCATACTCTCTTGGTCACAAGCAAATCACACACTTCCCCAAGTTCAAGGGGAGGGGGGTATTAGACTCCACTTCATGATGGGAAATGGCAGAGTTCTTGAGTAGAGTTGGCAAATTATGACCCTTGGATGAAATCAGGCTCCTGGGCATTTATGTCTTGTAAATGACTTTGCCATGATGTCAAAGCTGAGTGTTTGGGACAGGTACTGTGTGGTCTGTAAAGCCAAAAATATTTACTGTACAACTCTTTATAGAAAAGTTTCCTGACCCCTATTCTGGAAGACCATGTTGGATGAGTGTTACTGTTTTAGCCACCTTTGTAATATGTCATTGGCCTCAGGCAGGTTACAAGCCTCTGAATTTTACTGGGGTCTCCAAACCTGGCACCGGATTAGATAACTGAGACATCTGGTTGCCATGCAGATGGCATCATTGGACCACGTTTGTACGTGTAGCTTCAGAGTTTCTCAGGCCTTTTGCACAGGAGCAGAGGTACACCCGGCTTACTAGCTTCTCATTCTTTGCTATGGCTGCCATCAGCTTTTGTAAAACTGAAAACAGGGTAAGTATAGACTTTGACTTTTCATGTAGCAGACTGTTAGCAGGAGTTAACTGCTTTAAAGTTGGCGACCACTTTTAGAATCCCCAACTGCTAGTTCAGGAGGAGAGTGGGCATTGCTTATGCACTTCTTGCAAAAATGAAAATCCATTAACTTTTATGATTCATGTATGCTCTCTGACAGCATTGGGTCAAAGGGGCTTTTTTTCCTTCCTCCACCTGATCAACATTAAGTGAATGTTGACAGAAGCAAACTGAGCATATGGGACTAAACTTCCTTGTTGCTGAAGAGATCAAGAGGCTCAACTTGAGTTTCCATACTCATTTCACCAACAGACTGCTACCTTCAAGGAGTGCTTAGACTGGCTTTGTACCCATGGCTCAGGAGAGCCTCAGTGTGGCTGACTTTATTTTCAGGATCTAGGTTCTTTAGCCCACCAGTGAAAAATGACTTCATCATCAGTCTCTGCCTTCCACCAAATTATGCATAAAGAGATATATCCATTATGTGGTGGGATTTTTCACATTTTTGTGAAAAATTTGCATTTTTATGGAAAAGAGCAGATGATAATATACAGTGGCATTTAAGCCAGACATATTTATGCAAAATACTCAGCTGCCTCTGAAACCTCTGAATGTTGCCCTTTTACTGATTTTGGACAACCATACCAACACCAAGTTAACAGGATATATGTCTAACTCTAAAAGCTGGCTTTAGGTAGTTGGTCGATTCTTGGGCCTTCACTGGTAGTAGCAATTTGATGAGAGAAGGAAAGGGAGAGAACTGTGGGATAATCCACATTCCTGGAGTTTTACCAGTTTGATTTCACAGGACTGCTCTATTTTGTGCATGTGCATGTATGCATATGTATATATCCCATTTTTAAATGTTTAGGTTCAAATAAATTAACTGTCACTTATTTTCAGGAATAATTCTGAAGCATTTTAAAATTTTTATAATAGCTAGAATATCTTGCTGAAAAGTTACCACAGAAGTTTGCTTCAGTGCTACAGAAAAATTCTCTGCCTTTTAATAAAATTTATATCATTTGAGAGAAATCAAGCTGAATTTACTTTTGTATTTAAGGGCACATTGCAGTTCTTTTTTTCCTGTAAAGCAAAGCAGAACCCTGGACTATATTATTGGAAGGTGTTCAGACTAGAATCCTATTTATTCATTTGTTTTTTATTTTAGACGTATTTACTGAGCTTACCATGTGCTGTGAATTCTTCTGTGTGCTGGTTATGTAGTACCTTCTTTTGTGGAATTTACTTCTCTGTTGGAGAAGACAGATAATACAGGTTGTAAATAGATGTATAATATCAGATGCTATAAAGAAAAAGCAAAGAATAGGGACAGAAACAAACTTAGTGTATGGGACTAAATTCTTTCCTCATTGTTAGAGCCCGGTGGCTCATTGAGTTTCCATATTCACTTCAGCAATGAGTTTCCATATTCACTTCAGCAACAGACTGCCATCTTCAGGGAGTACTTAAAATTGTCTTTCTATCCATGGCTCGGGAGAGCTTCACTGTGGCTAACTTTGATTTGCAGGATCTGGGTTCTTTAGCCCACAAGTGAAAAATGACTTCATCATCAGACTCTGCCTTCCACCAAATTATACATAAAGAGATATACATGTTTGAGAGGGTTGCAATGTAAGATGCTTAAGGAAGGCCTGTTTGAAGAGGTGACATATGCAGAGGCCCTAATGAAATAAGTGTATAAACCATGTGAATATTGGGGAAAAGAGCATTCTAGGAAGAGATAAAGGCAAGTAAAAAGGTTTGAAAATGTTAACTTACTTGGCATGTTTGAGGAATAGCAGAGGCTACTAGGGTTACAACCTAGTGATTAAAGGAATGATAAGAAATGAAACAGAAGAAAGCCAGAGAGTAGTTCATGACAATCCTTGTAGCCGGGTATGGATATGTAATGGGAAGCTATCAGAAGGATGGAGAGCCGAGGAGTGGCATAATTTGACATTGTGGATAACAAATTTACTATGTGGATCACAGCAAACTGGAAAATTCTTCAAGAGATGGGAATACCAGACGACCTTACCTGCCTTCTAAGAATGCAGGTCAAGAAAAAGCAACAGTTAGAACTGGACATGCAACAACAGACTAGTTCCAATTTGGAAAGGAGTACATCAAGGCTGTATATTGTCACCCTGTTTATTTAACTTACATGCAGAGTACATCATGCACAATGCCAGGCTGGATGAGGCACAAGCTCGAATCAAGATTGCTGGGAGAAATAGCAATAACCTCAGATATGCAGATGACACCACCCTTACGGCAGAGAGCTAAGAGGAACTAAAGAGCATCTTGAAAGTGAATGAGGAGAGTGAAGAAGCTGGCCTAAAACTTGACATTCAAAAAACAAAGATCATGGCGTCCAGTCCCATCACTTCATGGCAAATAGATGGGGAAACAGTTGAAACAGTGGCAGACTTTATTTTCTTAGGCTCTAGAATCACTGCAGATAGTGACTACAGCCATAAAATTCAAAGACACTTGCTCCTTGGAAGAAAAGCTACAACTTACCTAGAGAGCATATTAAAAAGCAGAGACATTACTTTGCCAACAAAGGTCCATCTAGTCAAGGCTATGGTTTTTCCAGTAGTCATGTATGGATGTGAGAGGTGGACTATAAAGAAAGCTGAGTGCCAAAGAATTGATGCTTTTGAACATCAATTCAAAAACAGAGAAAAGTCTTGAGAGCCCCTCGGACTGCAAGGAGATCAAACCAGTCCATCCTAAAGGAAATCCATCCTGAATATTCATTGGAAGGACTGATGTTGGAGCTGAAGCTCCAGTACTTTGGCCACCTGATGCAAAGAACTGACTCATTTGAGAAGACCCTGATGTTGGGAAAGATTGAAGGCAGGAGGAGAAGGGACGACAGAGGATGAGATGGTTGGATGACATCACCAACTCAATGGACATGAGTTTGAGCAAGCTCCGGGAGTTGGTGATGGACCCGGAAGCCTGGCATGCTGTGGCCCATGAAGTCACAAAGAGTGGGACATGACTGAGCGACTGAACTGAACTATAGAGCTGGTGTGTGGAGTTTATTTTTGTTGTTGTTTTCTCATTTTTTTTTATTTTATGTTTTTTGTTAAAAGGGTTGGTTTTATTTTTTTTCCATTTATTTTTATTATTTGGAGGCTAATTACGTTACAGTATTGTAGTGGTTTTTGCCATAGATTGACATGAATCAGTCATGGATTTACATGTGTTCCCCATCCCGATCCCCCCTCCTGCCTCCCTCTCCATCCCATCCCTCTGGGTCTTCCCAGTGCACCAGCCCTGGGCACTTGTCTCATGCATCCAACCTGGGCTGGTGGTCTGTTTCACCCTTGATAGTATAGTTGTTTCAATTCTATTCTCTCAGAACATCCCACCCTCGCCTTCTCCCACAGAGTCTAAAAGTCTGTTCTGTACATCTGTGTCTCTTTTTCTGTCTTGCATATAGGGTTATCGTTACCATCTTTCTAAATTCCATATATATGCATTAGTATACTGTATTGGTGTTTATCTTTCTGGCTTACTTCACTCTGTATAATGGGCTCCAGTTTCATCCATCTCATTAGAACTGATTCAAATGAATTCTTTTTAATGGCTGAGTAATATTCCATGGTGTATATGTACCACAGCTTTCTTATCCATTCGTCTGCTGATGGGCATCTAGGTTGCTTCCATGTCCAGGCTATTATAAACAGTGCTGCGATGAACATTGGGGTACACGTGTCTCTTTCAATTCTGGTTTCCTCAGTGTGTCTGCTCAGGAGTGGGATTGCTGGGTCATATGGCAGTTCTATTTCCAGTTTTTTAAGGAATCTCCACACTGTTCTCCATAGTGGCTATACTAGTTTGCATTCCCACCAACAGTGTAAGAGGGTTCCCTTTTCTCCACACCCTCTCCAGCATTTATTGCTTGTAGACTTTTGGATAGCAGCCATTCTGACTGGCGTGTAATGGTACCTCATTGAGGTTTTGATTTGCATTTCTCTGATAATGAGTGATGTTGAGCATCTTTTCATGTGTTTGTTAGCCATCTGTATGTCTTCTTTGGAAAAATGTCTGTTTAGATCTTTGGCCCATTTTTTGATTGGGTCATTTATTTTTCTGGGATTGAGCTGCAGGAGTTGTTTGTATATTTTTGAGATTAATCCTTTGTCTGTTGCTTCGTTTGCTATTATTTCCTCCCAATCTGAGGGCTGTCTTTTCACCTTGCTTATAGTTTCCTTTTTGTGCAAAAGCTTTTAATTTTAATTATGTCCCATTTGTTTATTTTTGCTTTTATTTCCAATATTCTGGGAGGTGGGTCATAGAGGATCCTGCTGTGATTTATGTCGGAGAGGGTTTTGCCTATGTTCTCCTCTAGGAGTTTTATAGTTTCTGGTCTTACATTTAGATCTTTAATCCATTTTGAGTTTATTTTTGTGTATGGTGTTAGAAAGTGTTCTAGTTTCATTCTTTTACAAGTGGTTGACCAGTTTTCCCAGCACCACTTTTTATGATATATTTTTAAGATCTTTTTTGAATTGATACTACTTTTCACTTTGTTTAAATTATTAGATTTTTAAACTTATGAAAGTGAAAGTGTTAGTCGCTCAGTCGTGTCTTCTTTGCATCCCCATGACTGTAGCCAACCAGGCTTCTTTGTCCATGGAATTCTCCAGGCAAGAATACTGGAGAGAGTTGCCTTTTCCTTCTCCAGTGGATCTTCCCAACCCAGGGATCAAAGCCAGGTCTCCTGCTTTGCAGGCAGATTCTTTACCTTCTGAGCCAAGAATATATAAAGAACCTCTGTTTCTGTCATGTAAAAAAAAATCTGTTTCTAGCAACGGTGGACACTATGGACTGAATGTTTGTTTCCCTCAGATTTGTTTATTGACATCATAACTCCAGTCCCTCCCTCTCAACGTGATGGTGTTTAGAGGTGGGGCCTTAGGTAATTAGATTTTGAGGATGGACTTCTCATGACATGTGGTTAGTGCCTTTATGTTGTTGTTACTCAGTCCTGTCTGACACTTTGTGACCCATGGACTGCAGCACACCAGGGTTCTCTGTCATTCACTATCTCCCAGAATCTGCTCAAACTCTTGTCCATTGAATCAATGATGCCAATCAACCATCTCATCTTCTGTCATCCCGTTTTCCTGCCCTCAGTCTTTCCCAGCATCAGGGTCTTTTCCAGTGAGTCAGTTCTTCACCTCAGGTGGCCAAACTATTGGAGCTTCAGCTTTGACGTCAGTCCTTCCAGTGAATATTCAGGTTTGATTTTCTTTAGGATTGACTAGCTTGATCTTGCTGTCCAAGGGACTCTCAAGACTCTTCTCCAGCACCACAGTTTGAAAGCATCAATTCTTTGGCACTCAGTCTTCTTTATAGTCCAACCCTCACATCCATACATGACCACTGGAAATACCATAGCTTTGACTATACAGACATTTGTGGGCCAAGTGATGTCTCTGCTTTTCAATATACTGTCTAGGTTTGTCATAGCCTTTCCTTCACAAAAAGTTTCTTTTGTTTCATGGCTGCAGACACTGTCCACAGTGATTTTGGAGCCCAAGCAAATAAAGTGTATCACTGTTTCCATTGTTTCCCCATCTATTTGCCATGAAGTGATGGGACCAGATGCCATTGTCTTAATTTTTTGAATATTGAGTTTTAAGCCAGCTTTTTCATTCTCCCCTTTCACCTTCATTAAGAGGATCTTTAGTTTCTCTTTGCTTTCTTTCATTAGGGTGGTGTCATCTGCATGTCTGTGGTTGTTATTTCTCCTGGCAATCTTGATTCCAGCTTGTAATTCCTCCAGCCTGGCATTTTGCATGATGTACTCTGCATAGAAGTTAAATAAGCAGTGTGACAATATACAGCCTTACTGTACTCCTTTCCCATTTTTGAATCGGTCTGTTGTTCTGTGTCCAGTTCTAGCTGTTGCTTCTTGACCTGCATACAGGTTTCTCAGGAGGCAGGTAAGGTGGTCTGGTAATCCCATCTCTAAGAATTGTCCACAGTTTGTTGTGATCTCTACAGTCAAAGGCTTTCATGTAGTCAGTGAGGCAGAAGATATTTTTCTGGAATTCCCTTGATATCTCTGTGATTCAGATGTTGGCAGTTTGATTTCTGGTTCTTCTTGCCTTTTTGAAATCCAGCTTGTACATCTAGAAGTTCTCAGTTCAGGTACTGTGGATGCCTAGCATGACGGATTTTAAGCATTACTTTGCTAGCATGTGAAATGAGTGCAATTGTACACTGTAGTTTGAACATTCTTTGACATTGCCCTTCTTTGGGATTGAAATGAAAAGTGACCTTTTCCAGTCCTGTGGCCACTGCTGAGTTTTTCACATTTGCTGACATCTAGAGTGCTATACTTTAACAGCATCATCTTTCAGGATTTTAAGTAGCTCAATTAGAATTTCATCACCTTCACTAGCTTTGTAGTAATACATCCTAAGGCTCACTTGACTTCACACTCCAGGATGTCTGGCTCTAGATGAGTGACCACACCATCGTAGTTATCTGGGTCATTAAGACCTTCTTTGTATAGTTCTTCTGTGTATTCTTGCCACCTCTTCTTAATCTCTTTTGCTTCTGTTAGGTACGTACCATTTCGGTCCTTTATTGTACCCATCATTGCATGAAATGTTCCCTTGGTATCTCTTCATTTTATTGAAGACATCTCTAGCCCATTCTATTGTTTTCTTCTGTTTCTTTGCATCATTCACTTAAGAAGGCTTTCTTATCCCTCCTTGCTATTCTCTGGAACTCTGCATTCAGTTGGGTATATCTTTCTGTTTCTCCTTTGCCTTTCACTTCTTTTCTCAGCTATTTATAAGGCCTCCTCAGACAAATATTTTGCCTTCTTGCTTGCTTTGTTTGGGATGGTTTGAATCACTGCCTCCTGTACAGTGTTACAAACCTCTATCCACAGTTCTTTAGGCACTCTGTATATCAGATCTGATCCCTTGAATCTATTTGTCACTTCCACTGTATAGTCATAAGGGATTTGATTTAGGTCATACCTGAATGGCCTAGTGGTTTTCCCTACTTTCTTCAATTTAAGTGTAAATTTTACAATAAGGAGTTCATGATCTGAGCTACAGTCAACTCCCGGCCTTGTTTTTGCTGACTCTGTAGAGCTTCTCCATCCTTGACTGCAAAGAATATAATCAGTCTGATTTTGGTATTGACCATCTGGTGATGTCCATGTATAGAGTTGTCTTTTGTGTTGTTGGAAGAGGGTGTTTGCTATGACCAGTGCATTCTCTTGACAAAACTCTGTTAGCCTTTGCCCTGCTTCATTTTGTACTCCAAGGCCAAACTTGCCTGTTACTCCAGGTTTCTCTTGACTTCCTACTTTTGCATTCCAATCCCCTGTGATGAAAAGGACCTCTTTTTTTGGTGTGTGTTCTAGAAGGTCTTTTAGATCTTCATAGAACTGTTCCACTTCAGCTTCTTCAGCATTAGTGGTTGGAGCATAGACTTGGATTATTGTGATGTTGAATAGTTTGCCCTGGAAATGAATCAATATCATTCTGTCAATTTTGTGATTGCACCCAAGTACTGCATTTCAGACTGTTTGGTTGACTGTGTGGGCTACTCCATTTCTTCTAAGGGTTCTTGCCCACAGTAGTAGATATGGTCATCTGAATTAAATTCACCCGTTCCCATCCATTTTAGTTCACTGATTCCTAAAATGTTAATGTTCACTTTTGCCATCTCCTGTTTGACCACTTCTAATTTACCTTGATTCATAGAACTCACATTCCAGGTTCCTATGCAGTATTATTCTTTACAGCATCTGACTTTACTCTCACCACCAAATACATCCACAACTGAGTGTCATTTCCAGTTTGACAGCCTCTTTATTCCTTCTGGAGCTATTTCTCCATTCTTCTCCAGTAGCATATTGGACACTTACCAACCTGGGGGGTTCATTTTTCAGTGTCATATCTTTTTGCCTTTTCATACTGTTCATGGGGCTCTCAAGGCAAAATGCTGAAGTGGTTTACCATTTCCTTCTCCAGTGGACCACGTTCTGTCAGAACTCTTCACCATGACCCACCGTCTTGGGTGGCCCTACACAGCGTAGCTCATAATTTCATTAAGTTACACAAAGCTTTGGTCCATGTGATCATTTTGGTTAGTTTTCTGTGATTGTGGTTTTCATTTTGTCTGCCCTCTGATGGATGAGGATAAGAGGCTTGTGGAAGCTTCCTGATAGGAGGGACTGGCTTTGGGGAAAACTGAATCTTCCTCTGGTGGGCAGGGCCTTGCTCAGTAAATCTTTAATCCAGTTTTCTGCTGATGGATGGGGCTGTGTTCCCTCCCTGTAATTTGGCCTGAGACCAAACTATGGTAGGAATTGTTCTTGTTCAATCACCAAGTTGCCTCCATCTCTTTGTGACCCCATGAACTATAGCATGCCAGGCTTCCCTGTCCTTCACTATCTCCCAGAGTTTGCTCAAACTCATGTCCATGGAGTTGGTGATGCCATCCAATGATCTCATCCTCTATCGTCCTCTTCTCCTCCTCCTCTCAGTCTTTTCCAGCATCAGGATCTTTTCCAATGAGTTGGCTCTTCGTATCAGGTGGCCAAAGTATGGGAACTTCAGCTTCAACATTGGTCCTTCCAATGAATATTCAGGGTTGATTTCCTTTAGGATTGACTCGTTTTATCTCCTTGCTGTCCAAGATTCTTAAGAATCTTCTCCAGAACCACAATTCAGAAGCATCAGTTCTTCATCAATGGTAGGGGTTATGGCGGTAATGGTGACGCCCTCCAAAAGGACTTATGCCAGCATGCCACACCTCCCAGGACTGCTGCTTTCAGTGTCCCTGACCCCCTGGCAGGCCACTGTCAACCCTTGCCTCCAGCAGAGACTCCCAAAAACTCACAGGCAGGTCTGGCTCAGTCTCTTGTGGGGTCACTGCTCCTTTCTCCTGGGTCTTGGGCCCAGGAGTCCAGGAGACCCAGAAAGTCCAGGAGTGCCTTTAATGGAGAAGACAACAGATAATCTTTCCCTCTCCTGTGTGAAGATCCATCAGGGAAGGCTGCTGTCTACAAGCTTGGAAGAAGACTCATGCTGATACCCTGATCTTGGAATTCAGCCTTCATAATTGTGAGAAGTAAATTTGTTTTTTAAAGCCACCCAGTCTGTGATAATTTTATTATATAGCAGCCTGATCTAAGAAAACGGGCAGTAGTGTTTAACAGAATGTATCATTGACATCATTAATGCTTTATTTTTATAATACTGAGAAAAGGGTATCTTCCCAAGGAACATAATAGTGTATGTGAATTTAAGTCCACTTTATTTTTTTTTAAGTCCACTTTAAAGTATGTACAGGAATGGAGACTTTTTCAGCTTGTCAGGAAGAATATTCACTTATCTAGTTTGATTTGGTGCACAGAGCTGAAGGCTGGATGTTAAGAAAACCTTTCGTTGCTTCTAGTTTTAGATTACTATCATTACTGTCATTACTATCACCTTGGGCTTCCCTGGTGGCTCAGTGGCAAAGAATCTGCTTGCAGTGTGGGAAACATGGGTTTGATTCCTGGGTTGGGAAGCTCTGGAGAAGGAAATAGCAATCCACTTCAGTATTCTTGCCTGCAGAATACCATGGACAGAGGAGCCTGGCAGGCTGTAGTCTGTGGTGTTGCAAAAGAGTCGGACGCAACTTCAGGACTGAATAACAAAATAGCCTTGAAAGTCACTTAAGTATTTTGGCTCTTGATTCCTTCTTTGGTAAAATTTAGATTCTGAGATATATTTTTCAAAGGTTTGGCATAAAATGATAGAAAGCCTGTAAAAATTTTGTTGAAAAGCCAAAAAGAGGAGAAATTATATACAGGTTTTTCCTACTTTGCAAGCTATATTTGATCAAAGTAT